AAAAATATCATTTTAACATGTAATCAATATAAAAATTATTAATGAAATATTTAACATTCTTTTTCCATACTAATTCTTAGAAACCTGGTGTATAATATCACACAGCACATCTGAGTTTGGACTAGCCACATTCAAGTGCTCAACAGCCACACGTGCTATTGGACAGCACAACTCCACAAGACAGTAATGAGCAAAGAAAATGGCTTCCTTTAGTGGAAATCCAGAAATTCCAAGGTTGGAAATACAGTATCTCAAGGGTCTTAAAACAGACTCTGAAATCACTAGTCCAAATACTCATTTGATATTTGAATCTTGTCTACAATGCCCCTACCAATGGGTCACCTAGACTAGTGCTTGACTCATACTCCAGGGATGGTGAGCTCACAGCTTCCTGAAGCTAGCCTGTCCTTAACTCAAAAATTTCCTCTTTCTATTAATATTAAAGCAGATATGTTTTCTTATAGTGTCCAGCCTGGGTAGGTGGGTCCCTGGAGGTCAGGAGTGACTAGTGGACCTTTATGATGTGGGATTAGAGAGATTAAATGAGCACAGCCTTGCTAAAGGCATAATCAGGTTGGTTTATGGTGTTTCATGGAGCTTAGTTGGGTTGGATAATTAAGAGGTTTGTTGGGCTAAGAAGGATTGGGGGACTTAATAACTAAAAAATGTCACCACTGAGTTAGGAATTGTTAGAAGGTTAGGGCTGGACATCTGGTTAAAATCGTCCGTTACAATGCAACAAGACTAACAGACAGAAAGAAAGAGGTATGGATGCATGCTAACTTCGCTAACGTGGAGATACAGTGAATTAGAGAGTACTTTGAATCATTATAAACTTTTAAAAATTTCACAAAGTAAAACACGATCGGGTTCTAATTAATAAAGGATATCATTTCCATGACACCTGTGTTACAAATAACAATATCCTAACTCTTAAAGTACACGTACTTAATCAAACGAATGAATTTCCAGACGAGAAATCAAAGGCACTTAAAAAGTCCTATTTCCTATCTCGATTTTAACATATTCCTCACTCAAAAACACTCTGGCAACCAGAGACAGAACATTTTCTTTAATTCAGTAAGAAATGACACTAACTGCCTGAATTATGGTGGATTCTGAGTGGCACTTCAAATAATACATTTTTGCTCTATTTCTTCTGTTCCTTTTTCCCCCCCTTGGTTGCGGAAAGGTGTCTTTTCCACCCTCCCGCGCTCCCCAATTCTACCTTTCCAAGGCAGGGGAAGGTGCGTCCTCGCCAGGCTCCTGCCCGCGCCTTCCTAGTACCTCTGGCCAGCAGCCGGTGACACGGCGCGCCCTGGACATCCATTAACGTTTTATACTACATCTCTGCCCTCGCCGAAGCTTCTCCCGATTGCGCGCCGCCGCCGCGCACCCCCACCCGCCTGCACGCTGTCAACCGCACTTGGGGGGGGAATTTCGGAACAGAAGCTCCGCCTAGCCTCCTCCCTTCTGCCTCCGCAAACCAGCTCGACACCCCCACCTCGGCCCGCCGAAGCAGGTTTCGTCACACGATCTGGGGTACAGCATTTTTACAAGAAAACAAGCATCCGAAAAAAAAAAATTCAAACTGCACGCGCCGGCCAATGGGGAAGGACTGGGAGGTGGGCGGAGGAAGTGCGCGGCGCGCTCCGGGGTGGGGGCGCGGGCGGGCGGGCGCCGGCGCCGGGACCGCAGGGGATTCGTAAAACGCGGCGGGCGCACGGTTTGGGGCTTTTTTTTTTTTTTTTTTTCCTCCAAAACCAGCACAGGCGCGAGACTGCGCCTGAAGCTGCAGCCTCCCGGATCCACCTTAAATCTTCGGTGGACTCGGCGCAGGGGTCAGTGGGCGCAGCCAATGCCAATCAAGTTTACAACCACCAGCACGGGAGGGAAAAAAAAGAGAGGAAAAAAAAAAAAATAATCTTCAAGTTTTCCTCTGCACACACACGCGCGCACGTACGCACGCACACACGCACATTCACACGCACACACGAGGAGGGAGGGCGGGGGACAGGCGCTCGGGCGAGGGGAGCATGTTTGCGAAATGCGCGTTCGAGGCTGCGTGGCCGCGGCGCGAGCGCTCGGGGACTGCGCGCGGGAAACGCGGCCCGGCCCGAGCGCCATGATGGGCGCCGCGGTTCGGAGCCCGTTTTCTGGAGGGGGAGCTGCAGTGATGCAATCCCCCGGCCGCGGCCCGGCTGCGCGCCCTGCGCCCGGCCTCTCAACGTTCTGTGTGAGGCGCGTCGAGGTTTCGCGCCCAGCGCGCTGGCTGCGTTTTGTATTTGTTCCCTTCCGAGTCCTGCGTGTTCTGTGTGCCCCCACGCGTGACCGGACGGGTACGCGCATGGCCCCAGAGCGACTTGAGTTTTCGTGTAAACACTGCACTTTCGGTTCTGCGGGGTCGGCTTGCGGCTGACCCCACCCTGGCCCAGATCCGGGAGGTGCCCCCAGAGCTTTTCGAGCAGGACCGCGGCCTCCTCCTCGCCCCAGCTTCGCCGGCAGGAGTTGCCCCTTATTTGGGGCCTGGGGGGAGGGGGACGGGCGTAGGGTGTGGCTCAGGTGAAAGAGATGGCAGCTTGCAAAAAGGAATTCATAATCTGGAAACCGAACCCGAGATCCTAGACGAGCTTATAAAACACCGTTTTTACATCCAAAGAGCTTCAGGGGAGCAAGTGTGTAAACTACGATGATAAAGATGAAATGGCGAAGGCTGCGTCCCCGGCCGCCGGGAAAGGGCGCTCCAGGAGGCCGGGGCGGTGGGCGCGCCGGGGCCTGAAGGGCCGCCCGCCCCGCTCCGCTGGTTGAGGTCCACGGCCCCGCAGTCCCCAATCACGCCCCCAACCGCACTTCCCCAGTCCTTCCTTGCCTCGGTCCGCCGTGCGGGGCAGCGGGGACGCCCTGGGGGGACTTTGCGGACGGGGGTAGGGGCGGAGGCGACCCCCGCAAGCGGCCGTATCTGTCGGCCGGTGCCGCTGCGGCCCTCCGCGGCCGCCGGCGAGCCGGGCAGCCTTTCGAAATGCGCGGGGCTGCGGATCATTGGAGCCCGGGGTAGGGGTGGGAGCGGGCTGCCGCCCCGGAGGGTCCACGAATTCGGAAAGGCTCTCCGCTTCGCTCAGATGCCCCCACCGCTCAGGGGGCAACGCGGGAGTCGGGCGGAGGGTCAGTCTGTGGAGAGGAGTGGGGGCTTTCGCTTCTTTCTCAGCCCAGAGGAGAGGATGAGGGAGAAAAGTTTCTGAGAAACCGCCCAGTCCTGCTGCGCGGCAGAGGCGCGGCCGCCCTGCGCGGCCTACGGGCGCCCGGGCGCGGGAACTGCGCGCCGCGCCGGGGGCCGTGCGGGATATGCCAGTTGCAGCTGAGGAGGGAGACTTGACGGCCTTTCCGTCCCGACGTGCCAGCCGGCCCGACACCGCAACTGCCGCCGCGGGCGGGCGCGGGCTGCGCAGCGGTTAGCGGAGACGACGGCGCGGCAGCCTGGGTAGCGGGGCAGGGGGCGGCTGGCGCCGGCGGCCGCGTCCCCCTAGAGGGACGTCAGCTGCTGGCCCGGCAGACCCAGTCAGGGTGAGGACGATCCGAACCGCGGGGGAGCTTCTGGAGGCTTGACACAGACGTGTACAGGACCGAGGACGCGGTGCCTTGGGGGCTGCGTGCCTGTGAACGTGCCTGGCGCGGCGAGCATCCACTTCTCCCTGGCCCAGCGGTCCTGAAACGCAATCTCTAAAAATTCTCATTGAAGAGACCTCTAAAGAGAGAGGAAAATGGGGTACATGAGCAATTAAGAGGATGTTTTTCCCTCTGTTAAAGGCACTTTCTGAAGTATCCTTTTTCACTCAGAGGCGCTTTAATTTTATTTCATTATTTCCTAACCCTCCACTCCCTCCTCCCCATTTTGAATTGTTTTTCTTGCTCTCAGTCTCTTCCTGAAAAAACACCCGGTATGCGTGTTTTAAACAAAATCACAAAAACACCTTTAGTCTTTAATTAAAATAATACCTACTTGAAAGATGCGGCCCAGCCACCACAGGACCTATTTTTCCCTTCCCTGCAGCCGAAGTGAGTCAATCCTGCTTTAAAAAAAAAAAAAATCTTCACGTCAAAAAATGCTGGAACTATTTGTTTAGAACCTCTTTTGGGGTGCGATAATATGAATGCAGGTATTTGAGAGAAACAATTTAACCCTAATCCAAATTTTTACAATTTACCCATTTGCAGATTTCCAGAATAAATAATTTGCTTTTTACACCTTAACCACATTTTTTAAGAGAATGTGGAATTACAGGAATCATTTCAGTAATCTGACTTTAGAATACCTTAAATATTTTTTCTTAAGTAAAAAATACGTACCTCTACTGTATGGTCATGGGGACCCAAAACCCACAGATTTGGTATTTAGATTAACCACTTTTGGGATGTGTAGATTGTAACCAGGATATTTAGAAATTGACGAATTTTTATGTGATGACCAATTAAATTTGAAAAATGACTACCTAAATTAGGGTAGAATACACACCAATTTCTTAAGGGCCAGTATGTTTGAATATCTTAAACAGATTTGTACATTAGATGGACCAAACAATTGCTTTAATTCCCCACACTTCTCATGTGTAAATACAGAATTTAGAGAAGTCATCATGTTACTTTCATTTTCAATCCTGCAAATGTGTGATCAGTCTACACTTATATAAGGATCTTTGGTTCTGACACATTCATATCCTAGAAGACATAAATATTTTAACTAATAGAGACTTTGACAATCTTATTTATATGAAAATGTAGCTTTTCCACTTTCACCTTCTAAAGCTTTGTCCACCCTTACAGAACTAAGTGGAAAACAACAGGAACTACTAACTACATTCGGGCCCACATAAAACATCATCTGAGTTGTGGGCCTGAATTACCTAGATATTTGCTACTTCACATTATATTTGTGTAAATATGACTAGAATGCCAGGGCAAACACCTCAAGCATAGTAAAGCACATTACACTTAGACTCAATGAATAGCTATGGAAGTTTTCTTTATTGATTGCTTAACGTGTAACAATTGGTATCTTTTTCACACATTACAAAAAATTATACTTGGCTCAGTATGCAAACTTTGAAGCATAGCCATATTATTTAACAGAAGAGAGTTTTGAAAAACCTATTCTACCCAATATAGCATTTACAAATGCACAAAACATGCCACTTTGGCTTGTATATTGTCTAGATTAAAAAAAAAATCTCTTTTTAACATAAATAAGTTAGTATAATTTTTCAGTGTCTTTACAGAGTTATGTACACAGGTACACTTCAAATGTTTTGTTTCATACACATACACAGACAATGAAGAAATACTGTTTAAAGATGTAGTATCCATTTCACTTATTCCACGAGTGTGCTTTTCTCTACAAGCACCTTCCTTTAAAAAGACTACTTTCCTTTGGGCAAATTAACAAACAGAATAAGAAGCTTTAAATTAAAAATTATTTCATTTTTTTATGTGAAGTTACAGATTTTTAAAAATAGCCAGGGATTTAGAATTATTTTGATTGTGTCTACACAGCCCAAAGTGAAAAGAAAATTAAGAAATGTTCTAAGTTTGGTACATTCTGAGCATTCAGAATTCTCCCCATACACCCCAGATTTTTGCCCCGAATTACCTGGAGTGATTACCTAACTGCTGAATAATTAACTGGTAAGTTCTAACTTTAAAAGGAGACTGGGGGAGCACTGAGGATAAGTTTTTGCTTTGTTTTTTGTTTTAAGCCATTTGCTGCTACATAACGGAACCATCAGATCTCCCAAATGAGAATAAGCTTCATGTGAAAACAAATAGCAACTATTTGTAACCAGGGTTCAAATTTTGATGATTTTAAAAATGAATTATCAGTTCTCACTGAAAGGGACATTACATCTTTAAAGAAAACAATTTAAACCCTTCCCCCAAATTGCTTCTCTTCATGCAAGTCAAATATCTCCTTGCTATAAATCGAAGCAAGCTGTTCATACCCCCCCCATGCCAATTCCTCAGCCCCACCCTACCCTCCCCTTCCCCAAAGTTTATGTGCTACATAAAAGGTAAAAACTATATACACAGGTAGTACAATGAAGCAAATAAGGAAAAAACCTAATTGCACAATGCTACATCCAATGCTTTTAGAGGCAGATCATTTAAGAGTGCCTAAAATTTTAGTGTTATTGTGTTGTTGTTTTTCAGTGCTTATACAGGATGTCCATTCCATGGAGTCAGCGATATGTATTTAAAATTTTTTATATATATCTTCCTTGCTTCATCAAGCAGTGATGTATCTGATAAACAAGGAAACATTCTTAATTCTGCAAAAGAAAACAAAAAGGAAGAATTAGGGGATAAGTGCTAGAGTAGCATTACCAATAGAGTACAGGAATTATTTTGTCACTATGTTAGCTGGGAAATACTTGAGCAATGGGGGAAAAAAGTATGTACTGTAAGTTTGATGACTATAGCCATCTCCACCTAAAAACATATTCTTATCTGGATTTTTACTCTTCTCTGTGTTGTATACTTTTGTCCAGAACAGTGGTTCTTAAAAGTGGGCAATCTTGCCCATCCCCACCCACCTCCCACGGGATATTTGGCAATGTCTGGAGACATTTTTGGTTGTCACAAATGGAGGAGGACTGCTACTGGCATCTTGTGGGCGAGGCCAGGAATAGTACCAAACATCCTACAATGCACAGGACAGCCTCCTACAACAAAGAATTATTCGGCCCAAAATGTCAACAGTGCAGAGAGATTGAGAAACCCTAGTCTAAAGAATCTGGGTCAAAGATAGTGAGAAAAGAAAGAAATAGGAAAATTAAGAAACTATAACACTTAAGAGGAGTAGCCTAATTTTCTGAATTTGAAGAATGACTGGAAATATAACTTACAAAGGCACTCCAAAGAAAAATTCTATTAATATCATTTTTCACAATATTCTAATTTCTTACTCACTGGCTACAAATAGTTGCTATCCATTTTTACAGAATATACATGTAAATGTTTTTGAATAGTTCCTACTATTTCTAGTATTATTTGAACTGGCAATATTACTAACAAATGCTTCTCTGCACGTCAGGATGGGGCCAAATCAAAATCCCAATAGGTCTGATTCACGTGGCTCATCTGATGAGCTAGGCCACAAGTCACAAACCAACAAGAGTTGCAGGTGCTTAAGGTTGCTTCAGGAAAATTTTTCATCCAATTTTCCCACTTCATATAGTGCTGTATTTTAGAGGTTCTACAGTGCCGTTTTGTATAAGCTCTGAAAAATATCAGATATTTGTGAAGAAATCATATATATGACATGCTTTAAAAACACAACAAACCTGAATCCCACCGGAATCCCTATGTTATTTATTTTAAAATTTTTATAACTGAGGATTTTAAAAGTTAACATCAACTTTTATTAAGATCTCTTTTTATGCTGGGCTAGGAGGGTGCTTTAGTGGAAAAAAACAGGTCACAGTCTTTATAAGCAGCTTACAAATGAGTAATATATACGTAGTTTGATCATTTATGTAGCCAAGCCATGTAAATTTGGGGACTGAATTATTCAAATTAGCTATTCGTGGTGATCATATTTTAGTATATGGAAGAGTCTCCACTTCCCTTGTGCTGGGTAGAACTACCCTCACCATCCTAAAATCTACTATCCATTTCCCCTACAAACATCCACATCGCCCTGTTACTGCATGATTAACATACACAGGCTGACGTGTTCCTGGACTGCTTACTGTGGCAGAGTTAATTTAACTTCTGCTTTGCAATTTCAGTGTTTTCAGAAAGTCTGTAGAAACTTTAGTATTTTTGAGCTCTCCATCGTTTTTTTAAATAGGAAGATTCCTCCTCTCTCCTTAAACAGAAAACAGGCAAAGTGACCACTTATGAAAATGATAAAGAAAAAAGAACACAACGTACCACCCTATTCACATTCTAACCCCCTGGCTGACCAAAGGTGAGCTATTTGTACCTAATTTTCCCCTCAAAATCTAAACTTAATCACATATTTGCCATTTTTCCACGGCTCAAAATCTGTTACTGACCTGAACCTGTTGAGACCTGAACCTCTGGGAAATGAATTCTCATGAAGTGGGACTGAGGAGTAACCCCAGTTCTTGTTCAGATGAGGAAAGAACCTATTGTTCCCAACATGTTTTGGTGGGACTCACAGGGAAATGATCTTCCTACCAGTGGGGCCTTTGTTACAAGTACTTGCTCTGGGACACTAGCTCTAGTTACTTAGTGTTCAAGGGAAAATATCTCGGAAAGTAGAAGCTTTGAGGAATTACAGTATCTCCACAGTGATTCCCAGCCTCCCCCAATGCTACTTTTTTGACCTCACAAAGTACAAACAACCAAACCCCACAAGCTCCTAATCTGCCAGCAACCAGTAAGATTGGGTGTCTTGGGGTCTGAAGGCCCTAGGGTTCCTGTAGCCCGGTTCGGCCCAGTTCGGATGTCAGCTGTATGCTCCTAGTGATCAACCCACCGAGCTGTTTACGTCTGACGTCTTCTGAGGCCCGGCTTCTTGGGCGTCTGCTCCACAGAACCAGCATTCGGGGAACCGTCTGAAACATTCTCTTCTGTTCTGTTGGCTCTTTTGTTTTGAGAAGAAGAATCTAAGGGCAAGGGGAAATTTTAAAAAGAACACACACAATCTTTATTAGAAAAAACAATGGCTGGCAGAGGTTGGCCCAATCGTCAGGGGATGAAAAACCCACCACCTCCACCCACAATCCTGGATCGCCATCCCCAGTGGCCTTTAAGGGCACAAAATGAGGTTGTTTTCACATAACAGAAAGTGCATTCTCCGCCCCAAATCTCCCTTTCCCTAGCCAGGAGGGAGACACTGATAAACATCCCACCCAATGTTGTCACCACATGCCTATGGCTAAGCGAGTGGGGAAGAACTGCGATGTTTTAAGTTAGGGAAACGATCAGATGTTACAATCTCCGGTTTCTGACTTAAAAATCATAAACAGACAAGCAGTCAACCAGGCGGCACTTAAAACCTAAGACTAATAAAGTTCGCTCCCCAAAAGCTAAATCCGAATACACTGAAAAGCAAGCTGAGGTTAATACCCTCGAGCAGGCAAAGCCGGTCCCCAGACAGACATTTCATGGATTTGAAAGGGTCATTACCGTCTGTGGCAGGTCTTTTCCTGATTCCAGCGCACTGCTCCGCTAACCCTGTCTGGCTGTCTGACGGGTCAGTCTTTTGGTCTACCAAATGCGTGTCCTCAGAGTTTGCCTGAGACCCAATTAAAGGAACCGCCTGGCGGCCGCCGCAGACATCCTGGCTCTCCTGCGCCGGCACCTTGCAGGCGCCTTTGGGGGGCCGCGGGGGTCTGCAGTAAAACTCGGGCAAGCTGCCCTTCTCCACCTCTTGCCACTCGTATTTGCCCTCCAGAGGCTTGTGATTCTGAAAGTCGAAATTCCACTTGCGCTGGCTTGCTTCTTCCATGTCTCTGCAGTGCTTCTCCAAGTCCCGGGTCAACTCTTCGTGATTCACGGGGCCGAAAAGGTTTCTGCAGGCCGAGGGCTTGGGGTGCTCCGCCTGTCTGGCGTCCATCCGCTCCAGGCTCGGGCTCCCGTTAGACACTCGCACGTTTGACATCTTCCTCCCGGGTCCCGACGACCGCCTCTGTCGCGCTCTCAAAAAACAAAACCGAACAAACAAAACGCCCCGACGCAGCCCGAACCCCTCTTATAAGCGCCGCGACGGCTCTCAGCTCCAAGAGCAACAAACTCCGCGGAGTAACTGCCCGAGCTTCAGGAGCGCGCAGGGTCCGGGGGAGGGGTGCGGGGAAGCCCCGGCCGGGCAGCCGAAAGTCTCAGCCGATCAAGTGTACGGGCGAGCGGGAGGGCGGGGAGGGGAGGGGAGGAGGCAGGAGGAGGGGGTGGCAAAGCCAGTCCAAGTCCAGGCGGGTGCAAGCCCGCGGGTCCCGCGAACCCAGCCGCTCTCCAAACCTTGCCGGCGTCGGAGTCGCGGAGCCGTGAGAAAGCGGGGAGAGGGGAGGGGGAGAAAAACACCCCGAGAAGACGAGCCCCCTTTTTTAGTGGCCCAATATGGCGGTGGAAGGGAGGCTGACGAAGAAGAAAATGATTGACACGGCAAGTCTATTTAAACAGAGGAGGAGATCCATTGGTTGCGGCGCCGGGAGCCGCCCCGCCGCGGCTGGCGAGCGCGGCCTTAAGGTGGCCCCGGCGCGGTTCCGACGCCGCTCCGCGCTCCCGAGCGCGCCGCCTCCAGAGCGCCGCCAGGAGATTGGCTGGTCGCGTGACTGCTGGAGGTGTACTGCTGCCAACAGACCTGCTCTGGCTGGCCTCGGAGAAATTAAAAATAAGGCAAACAAACTAGCCAAACGGCCGGGAAGCCGGGGCGGGGCCTGGGGCTCTGGGTCCCGCGCTGCGCTGGCCGGCGCGCGGTGGCTCCGGAGCCCCGACCTCCCGCTCCTCGCCCGGGAAGCCGCGGGCCTGGACCAGATGAGCTCGGGGTCGCTCGCAGCCCGGTCTGAGCCTCGGGGGCGAGCTTGTCGTCCCCGCACTCGCCGTGCCGGGGGCGCGGAGGCCGACCGTGAGAGCTCTACCCCCAGCTCGGCTCTCCCCGGGGGTCCGCACCTCGCGGCCTGCGGGGGAGGCCGGGAGCCCCCCTGCCTGCGACCTAAGCTGCGGGCGGACGCGGGGGGCAGTGGTTCGCTCAGCCTCACCCAGAAGTGTCTGCCATCCCAGGGGAGGCAGGAGGCTTAGGGAAGAAACCTGGGAGAACGTCTTTCTATAAATTTGCCAGCAGTAGACGGAGCATTTGTAACGAAGCTCTCCCTCAATTAAAATAAGTAAGGAGATCAAAATCAAAAACTCGACTAGTCTCTCAAGTCCTTCATAAACTTTGTAGCCGTCCCAGATACATTCGGTTTAGAGAAGCGAGGTTACACCCCTAGCTCAGGTTCTTGCTTCCCACAGTTCAGGCCGTCGACATTGGCTGCGTGTGGGAACTCGTCCCCTCTTTATACTTTTCAGTGCTTTCCCAGGTTGTAGCAGTTTCCTCTACCTGAGTCCAGCCGCCAAGTACAACAGCTCCTTCCTTCCTCCACCTTTCTCCCATCAGATCCACTGCTCCGACCCACGCAGAACAGTACTCAGATGCGAGGGCATGCTTTTAGAGGGCTGCAAGCTTTTGAAGGGGGAAAATGTTCCCCTTGGGTTCAAAGTCCAGATTACGAAGTGATTTTTAAAACCACCACAACGATGTCCTAACGTCTGATATTATTATTATTCGGGCATTGGCGCTCCTTTGCAACTTGGAATTTATGTCTCCGGGTGGGCTTGAGCACCGTGTGGACGGTAAAACAGGATGAGCAGCACTGCCATAACTGAGACAAAGCTTGGCGGGCCTTTAACTGCCCTCCCAACCCCATTCACAAGACACAGCATCTTGATTTGGGCCAAAGTTAATGTATTTTATTGGAAATGAACCTAACCACAGCAGCCATGTTTTCTTACGCACCTATGCTTTGGATGAGTTTGACTTTTTAACTTGTTTTCTTTGCCACATCTTGTTTGTCCACTCTGAGTGCCTACCTCATACACTACAGAGTGTTACAGCTGGGACGGACCTTTGGGTTTCGCCCTTTCTTTTTACCACTGAGGAAATTGAGGCTCAGAAAGGATTCCTGTCCAGGCACATGCATCCAGTTGGTAGCTGAGCAAGGACTAACGCTCGGGCTGGTTCACTTGATGTTCCTTTCCTTCCAGATGTTCCCAACTGGTTCAGGTTTTTGTTTTGTTTTGTTTTTTGTCTGGATTTGATTGTGCTGTAGTCTGCAGGTCCTCCTCTCTCACAAGTGATTCAAAATGGCTTCTTCCCAGGCCCTGGGCTGCCTGCAGATGTTTCCTTGATGTGGCCTGTGGTCACTGATATTTAAATGCAGCCGTCACAGGCCTATGATATCACCATCCATTAGTTGAGCTAAAATATAGATTCTAAAAGGACAGGGTCCACCCAGAGAGCAGTGAAGGAGGCAGTGAGGGCCCAGAACTGGTTTCAAAGTCAGGACTTTATCTAACTGTGGAAAGGAGTTCACCTGGGACCAAAGCCAGAGGGGTCTCGTCCTCTTTATTGTTTTCTCTACATGTAGTGCACTACTGAATTTATCGGATTGGAGGACTGGGGGAGAATGGGCAGGAAAATAAGAGTAGGCCTCCCTGCAATAATTTATACCCCGCCCCTGAAATCAGATAATTGTCCAAATTTTAAAATAACTGCTAGACTACCCAGGAACTCTATATTGTACATATGCATCTATACATGTGCATAAACACACAAACTGCCACATATATGTAAATGGAGAAATTCTAGAGTATTTCACCTTACCACAAAAGTTTAATTTTATTCATGGAACTAGTATCTTATACGAAAGTAGAAAATTAATACTTATATGCCCTACACATGCTGAATCTTTCAACTATTATGCTGGAGCACAGTTTTGTTGCTTTGTGAATCTTGAAGAGTAAACGAGTCACGGTCACGCCACCTTAAGAAGTCTGGCTGCCAGCAGAAAGGCTGTGCTTACATCAACCTCGAAATGATCTAAAGCGTTTTGTTTACAGTCAAGGCACCCGAGACCTGGACAGCAAATAATGAGAAGGCAGGCGTCTGCTGTAGTAGCGACGAAGCGTGAAAAAAAATACTGTGGAGTCCCTGAAGGAAGAGGGAACTTGGAGAGCAGAGCGCCATCCTCTTGCGGAATGTAGGCAGCTGCAAAAGAGTAAGCCAAGGCGAGAAATTGCAGATAAACAGTGTAAAGGCGGAGCCTCAGTAGAAGACGGAAAGTTCCATGCTGCGCTGCTCTTAAAATGGGCTCTGCTTCCCCAAGACCCCTTGTCCTGTGTGATGATTTGTTGTCATTTTTACTCCTGGTGATTTCCTATTGAGGGCTGACAAGGGCTGACATACACCACCACAGGTTTCTGTCTTTCACAAAGCTGAGGAGAGAGGCAAAACCCAAAATAATGTAAAAGAAAACACCTGTGTGGGAGGCAAGTGTTCGGATAGGCTGGTTAGGCAAGCAGCCCGAGTCTGCCCGGCTCCCCATGCAGCCCTCCCCGGGGAAGCTGCCAGCCCCACACGTTTCTGGGAAGGTCTCCTCGAGCGGTTGCCCCTCCCATCACAAGTACACAATTGCGATCCCTCCTCCAGGATGTTTATAACGAGGCAGCTTTCACTCAACTAACTTCACCATTCCCCTAAAAAAGACACGTTTGCAGGGCTTGGCAATTTCACATTCATGTTTCTGACACTTTTAATTCAATTTAACAAATATTTTCTGAGCCCCTTCTATTAATTTGCTTATTCTTTCTTACTTTCAACAGATATGTATTGAGTGCCTCCTACATGCCAGGCTCTAGGGATACAGAAATAAACAGGTTTAAAGTAGAATGAAGCATACATTCTAGTAGGGCCAGGGGGAGAAAATAAGCACAATAAATGAGTAGAATATATACGCTATAGAGAAACAATAAGCAGGGGGGAGGGAAAGAGTTTTTTGAGGGTCAAAATGTGAATAAAGTGGTCAGGGAAGGCCTCATTGAGGGAAGGCCTCATTGGCCTTTCAGAGAAGCCCTGAGGACACGAGCAAGCCAGCCATGCAGACATCTGGGGAAAGAGTGTCCCAGGCAAGAGGAGAACAAATGCAGAGTCTCCAGGGAGGATCTTGCCTACCACGTTCAAGGGACAGCAAGGAGCCCCACGAGGCGGACAGGGCAGAGCAAGGGGGAGAGAGGTAACGGGCATCAGATGGCATAGGATCATGAGGGCCTCTGCAGGGCTTTTATCACTGACAGGAGATATGAGAAACCACTGGGGCATTAAGAAGTTTTAGGCAGTGGGTTGCTAAGATCTTACCATGTATAAGCTATTGTCCAGAGCATTATTTTCAGCAGCGTGGGGAGAAGAGATGACTGGTCACAATCCTTGCCTGCAGGGAGTATTTGCCATGTGCATAAAAACTAGAGGTAGAAAGCAATATATGGAAGAACACGATGCTGTGAAGTACAAAGGAGAGAGAAAGAAGAAGGCTACGTGGAGGAGGTGATGTATGAGTCAGATCTGGAAGAATAAGAAAAAGGTCAAGATGACTCTAAGGATGTATTGGTAGGAATAATGGGGGAGGTGGGGTCAGTGAGTGGTAGGCCATGGATGGCATGCTAAAAACATCTGTGTTAGTAAGCAGTGGGAACCCCTGGGGCTTCTGGTGAAGAGAATGACAAAAATCACTGTCCAAACTTGTGGGCCTGTGTTGGAGTTCTGGGGCTTGGATTTGTGAGATAGGGTGACCTGCCAAAGGTGGGGCTGAGGGTGACCTGAGAGATAATGTCTAGGGATAGGGCTAAATGAAAAGCTGGGCAGACAGTCCCAGTGTGCTGTTAATTCAAAGGGACCTGGGAGATGGACAGAGTACAGGTGTGAAGCAAGAGGACCAGGAGCCCAGGATGACAGGGGTTGGCATGGAGAGTAGGAGGCAGTCTGGCATCATCTCCTAAGCTGCAGGGGTTTTTTGTTTGTTTCTGTTGTTTTTGTTTTTGAGACAGAGCCTTGTTCTGTCTCCCAGGCTGGAGTGCAGTGATGCAATCACTAAGAGAGAATAACTTTGAGAGAATAACACCATTTACTAAGAGAGGTAACACAGAGGGAGAATGTAGCAGAGACTGCCTGCAATCCATTGAAATCCATTCTTGCCTTCTTCCTTAGTATCAGAGTTATAACTAGGCATACAGCTACCCAGCTACACGAAATTCCCCAGTCTCCTCTGCAGTTACACGTGGCCTTGTGATGAAGTACTTTCCAATATAATGTAAGCAAAAGTGATATGTGTCTGGTGCATAAAAGCTGCCACGTGACCCCTTGATTCTACCACTCTGTTTCCCCTGTCCCATGGGCTGGAAAGATGAATACTAGTGCAAACTTGGAAGCGGAGTGATGAAGATGACAGAGCCACCATCAGCCTCAGTAATGAGAGAAAAAAAAATTTTTTATTTTGTTGAACCATTACATTTTGGGCCCATTTGTTATAGCATTTTACAATCACTCCTAACTAACCCAGAGGAAAAAAAATGGGAGATAGGGAAGAGGGAAGGTTAAGAATTTGGTTTATTACAGTTAGTATGTGGATTGAAATTAATACAATCCCCA